CCGGAGCCCAGCAGGTCGAGGCTGTAGTGGCCGGGAGCGGCCACTGCACTCCAGTCTGGATAACAGAGTGATACTCCAACTCAAAAATAAATAAATAAATGGAATAAAAAATAAAATAAAATAAAATAAAAGCTTTCAGAGAGAAAAAGTAAGGTTTATACTAGGAATCAGGAATTAGAATGGTAGAACGTATCAGACTTTGCAACAGCGATGCTGAAAGCCAGAAGGCAGCGTGGAGTAAACGACTTCGCGGTTCTCAGGGAAAATTATGCCCTGCATGGAATCCCATGCCACCTGACCTCAGATGTGAATAAAGCTATTTTTAGACATGCAAATTGTTGAAAACATTTGCCTCCTATGCTCCCTTTCTCTGGAAGCTATTACAGATCAAAACAAGGGAGTAACCCACGAAAAAGAAAGGCCTGGGGTCCAGGAAAAGGGATTCAGTACAAAGAAGAGGCAAAAGTCATGTCCAGGATGACTGTAAAAGCAACCCCAAGATGGCAGGTAGGCCACAGGCACAGCGGACACATCCAGAGCTCGCCGGTCAGTAGCTCTGGGGGCTATTTCTTCAAGGAGGTGAAGCTGATGGAACTCGGTGGATTGGAACATTCTGGAAGGTGACTGGCACATCTGGAAGAAGGCGGAGGTTAAAGCAGTAATGAGAGTGCAGAGAACCAGGCAAACGGGGAAAGGGCAACGAAACAGCTCCGCAAGGGAAGCACAGGTACTTAGGGCCCGCCGCACGGCTCAGCTGAGCAGAGCGTCCACTTCCACAACAGAAAGTCAAACTCTCTGTTTCTGATCAAAACTAGTATTTGATGCTTTGGGGAGGACGAGAGGCAGCTGCTAGTGTAGGAATTCTAGGAGTGGAGGTTAGGGTGGAGTGCTGAGTTCTTTCTTTCCTCGAAGGATGTCAATAGTCAGAATATCGAGTAGCATCATAGCTCTTTGGAGACACAGAAGGAAAAATGAAAGGGTTCAACTAGAAAAGCTGACAGTGGTCACCTCGGGAAGAGGAAGTCAGGGGTGACTTTTTATACTGAGTGCCCATTCCGTTGTATAAAAATAAAAGCTAAATTAAAAAGAGCAGCAAGGAACAGCTGCTACCGGATGCCAAGACCAGCTTGAATAACATACAGTATTTGATGAACTAATTAAATCACATCAGAATCTTCAGAGACCTAGGAGTTTTCTTACAACAAGGAAGAAATTTCTAACAAATGAGTAAGTGCATTGTGCAGCTGAAACAGCTGGCCAATCACCAAAGTGAAAAGACTAGCAGTCAGAGATAAATGATGAGCATCTCACAACAAAACTGATGTGAACCAGAGCCGGAAAAGAGACAGCATTTCCAGACTGAGCGATGAGGTGTCAGTCTGAACTACGCACATGAAGGAAAGGGCTGGAGCATGATTTTGTTCACTCCGCTTGGCTGGTGCTCTAGTGGCACATGAATAAGAAGCCAAGCGGCAGAAAACAGAGCTTCTTCCCAAACCTTACCTGCAGCAGATGACTGTGCAAAAGTAACTGGATCTTGCAAAGAATGAAAAAGAGGAGAAAAGGCATCTGCACAGAAAGAAAAAGCCTGCATTGAGATTCGAGCAAGAGGATACGTTCCAGAGAGCAGTCAGTCTGACACAGTGATAAGAAACACCTCGTGCTGCAGAAGAGCACTTGCCGGAGAGGAAGTGGAGTGCCGGCCTGAGACAGAAGCTTCACAAGGAACCCAGGACCCAGAGCTGCGAATGACCCACCCCCGGGAGGTCTGATCCCCTGATGACTTCACAGTGACATCTCCTGAGATGGGCGGCTCCTTGGCCCCTCGCTGAAAACACCAGGCCGTGTGTTGCACCCACTGCCAGGTGCCGCCTGCGACATCTCTCTCTTCCCCCAGCAGAAGAGATGGTGACTCTGTGCCTGCCTTAGGGCCATGGAGGAATCTCCGGCAGCGGTGCCTGGGGTCCCACCCCGGTGCAGGCCGGTCAGGAGCGCTGCTCATCCTCAGGGACAGATAGCAGGTTACCAATGGCGCCAGGGGCCCTGTGTCTCCCATGAGTGTCCCCTGCACACCTGTGCCTGGCCATTGGATTGCCCCTCCCTCCGATCAGGCATGAACTGATTGTGGATTAGGAGCAACTGACTGACCATCAAGCACAACGAATAAATGTTCACGGCTTAACTGACTGGGGACTGTGCCCATCGGACATAGAGGTCCTTTGAATTTCAAAACATTTCCACTCAGTCTCGCCCAGAGTGTTGATGCTCGTCATTCTCCTTTGGAAGGAAGATGGGCTTTCGTTAAAGTGGCTCAACACATTGCTCTGCCCGGGCCCAGGGATGGCTCAGAATGTGTGGCAGCACTGGCTTGGGTTCCTTCACTCCACGGGTGGTAGGTGGGATCCTGGTGAGAGAAAGGCCTATGTGTGTGCTCAGCCTTAAGTCACCTAGTGTGCGTGTGTGTGTGTCCACACAGGCATATGCCTGATAGGATTCCCCGAAGCCCGAATTGGGAAAAAGCAAAGGTTGAAACTAGGCATTGGCAACGATCTATTCACCTTCTGTTAAAGGGCCCAGTTTTTGTTGGAGGACCTACCCCTCCCAATTCTTAGTCTGTGTGGTTTCCCCCAAGAATGGTGCAAGCGATCCAGGCCCAGACCATTCCCTTCATCCTCTAAGCCACTGGAAAAGGAAGCTGTCGAGACAGTTCCATTTGTAAACACTCGACGTGTTGAGGCCAGTGTTGTCCAATGGAAATACAGTACGAGAGTCATACAGATGCTTTCAAATTTTCTAGCAGCCATATATATTTATCTAGCTAGCTAGCTAGCTATTATTTATTTATTTAGAGTTGCAGTCTTGCTCTGTCACCCAGGCTGGAGTGCTGTGGCACACTCACGGCCACCCCAGGTTCGACCTGCTAGGCTCCAGCAATGCTCCCACCTCGGCCTTCCAAGTAGCCGGAACCAGGTACATGCTACAACACCCGGCTAATTTTATTTTATTTATTGTAGAAACAAGGTCTTGCCAACTTTCCCAGGCTGGTGTCGAACCCGCGGGCGCAGGAAATCCACTCACCTAGGCCTCCCAAAGTGCTGGGATTACGGGCTGAGCCACCGAGCCCAGCCAGCAGCCATATTTAAAAGAGAAACAGGTGAAAATAATTTTATAAATATTGCTATTTTACCCAATATATCCCAAATACTATTATTTAATAGGTAACAATAAGAATCTTTTCTTGCTTATTTCATTCAGAGTTCCTTCACTACTCCGGGAATACCTGTTATTCTACCCCAGTGAGACTGCCAGGCTTTTTGTCTCTTCTGTGTGAATCTTTTCTCTTTACTTCTCCTATCTAGCTCAGACCTTGAGGTCTATCATTTGAATTAGCCTCTTGCCAATATTAACTCCCTTGCTCTAATGTCTTTCTAAGTATGAAAAGTATTAATGAGATACCTCACATTCTCATTTTATACTGGTCCTTGAGTGTGGTCTGTGCTTTGGACGTAGAGCACATCTCAGTGCGGACCAAACGCACTCCCAGCTCTCAGAGCCCCCTGGGCGTGTGTCCCCACCTGACTTAGAGCACATCTCAGTGCGGACCAAACGCACTCCCAGCTCTCAGAGCCCCCTGGGCGTGTGTCCCTGTCAGGGACAGAAGATCGAGCCTGGCAGGAGCCACCTTAAGCCACCTGCTGTAAAAGTCACCAGCACTTTCCCAAACCCATTATGACCCACCTGCCTCTGGGCCTCTGCCCATGCTGCTTCCTCTGGGGACCTCTCCCCCACCTCCCATACATATTGAGAGCACCTGGCAGTACAGCTGTTATCCAGGTTTGGAATTAGGTGTGGTTTCCAACGAATAAGATCCTCACAACAGTAGTACTATTATGCATACTTTTTTATTGTCGAAGAGGACTTTGTAGCACTGTCTGGCTCTCCTGGGCTTTGGGGGCATGGGGTGGGGTGGGAATCTGGAGGCCAGAGAAGGATGTACAGGCTGGTTTGGGGGCTTGCCTCAGGGCTCCCCAGCCTCTGAGCTCCTTTCAGTCATGTAGGCAGCTCCCTGGGCAGTACGAGGGTCATACATATGTTTTCAAATGTATGACCCTAGGGCTTGGCATGGGGTGGGGCGTGGTCCCTGTCATTCAGAAGCCCAAGTTCTATCTGGCCAGACATCCACGAAAACCGTCAGCATTGTACGTCCTGCCAGGGCGGGGCAGGCTCTCAGTGTCTGTTGACTCAACTGTAAACGCAGAAAGAACGTCTCTGCTTCCTTCATCTAGACAAGCCACCCCTTGGCCACTGGGGCACAAAAGGATGCTTGTTGAGTGAAGGGAACGTGATACAGAGCCCAAGGTGGCGATTTGGCCCAGGACTCGATTCTCCCCTTATCCCACTTGCCTGTTTTCTCTGAGTGAGCTCCCTGCAGCTGCCGCAGGGATGCAACAAGGGAGAAACCCCTTTGTCAAGACGTCTTCAGCACTGGCTGCTGGAGAGGGATGGCTGTGCGCACACGGCCGACCTGCTGCGGCCCAGAGGTTGGCCAGACTTGGTCTCTTTAAATAACAGAATCTGTCTTGTTCCCCAAACTCCCTTGTCTCTGGTTTTTTCCGTATGGGGCCGTGTTGCCTGTCTTCTTCTTTCCCTGGGATCAACTCCATCCTGAATAACCTCCGCGAATGACCCCTAGATCCGATACACGCGACTCTTACCAGCCTGAACACCAACATCCTGGTCAGCAGCTCCACAGCCTGCACACAGAGACAAAGCACAATGTCAGCCCCTCCCCACGATATCCTTGAGTGCCCAGCATGGGACCTGGCTCAGAAATGGCTCTGAATGAACAGGCAAAGGAGTCACAATCCCATCCCACGTGCAGGAAGATGGTTTCCATCTCACCTTTCTTGAAGGGCTAATTTGCACTCAGCCCTGGGCTTGGCATGGGGAGTGGGGTGGTCCCTGTCATTCAGAAGCCCAAGTTCTACCTGGTCAGACGTCCGTGAAAACCGTCAGCATTGTACGTCCTGGGGAGTGTTCAGGTAAGTAGCCGCTACCGCGAGACACATCACATGCTCTGTCTAAACCTCGCAGCACCCCGGAGTGTGGGGTTCCCCCAACTTCTCCATGGGGCCCAACAAGGGAAAGGTGGCCCAGTTAATTAGCAGCCCCGCGGGGACTCAGACCAGAGCTGCCTCCTTTCAAGCCCGTCCCCAGCACCTGGCTGCTCCCAGCAGCAGGAGGAGAAAGGCTGAGGGGCCACCTCTCCCACCTCAGGGGAAACCCTGCTGATCGTCCCGACCTCCTTCTTTGGGCTCCTTCCCTCCCTGGCACCACCGAACCTGAGGCGGGTGCTGGGTCTGTGGCGTGCCTTGCCCTGCTCCTCGCTTCCACACAGGCCTCCCCCCAGGAGGGACTTGGTCAGTATTTGTCCAGGGAAAGAGAGGAGGTGACTTTGGCGACAGCTTTGACAGATGACTGAGGGTGCGCCATTGCAGAGGCAGCTCAGAGAGGAGATGCTGCCATCCCCCATTGCAGGCAAGAAAACAGAGGCTGAGAAGTGCTGAGGCTGAGCAAAGCCGGCCCCTGGTGCTGAGCTTGATCAGCCACTGCCTTCTCCCCCCATGCCTCTGATCTCCAGGTGCGACCCCTCGACGAACTCTCTTGGCCTCACGGCCCACTCCAGCTGGAGTCCCCGCGTTTGCTCCGCAGCTGAGAAACCTGACACGCCACCCCTCTTCGACCTGGCTTCTCACCTTTCACACCTTCCTGTCCATCCTGCTTCGCCCCTACAAGACTTCAGTTTCCACCTTTCCTTTTGCTTCTTGGCCACTCTCAGGCTCCTCCCAGGCCCCCCTTCACCCCCCTTGGTTTCGTGGTGTCCAGGGGAGATATTGAAGACTTCTGTCTGCCTTAATGCCTTCCGCCTATGTCCTTTTGGGGATGTCTCCTCCCCAGGTGCAAACTGTTTCCGATGAGGACCAGGAGTCGTGGGACGCCAAGCAGTCTGGTGGCCCAAGCTAGAGTTAACCACAGCTTTCCCTGGGATGTTCTGAGTTGGAGCTAGACATTGACTCACCGCTCTTGTCTCAGAGCCATGAAATATTATTCCAGAAGTGCCAGGGGCTGTAGTACGAGCTTCTTAAAAATAACTGGCTTGAGAGAATGAAACTGGCAGGGGTGGAGGGAAGAAGACAAAAGACGGAAATCCTGTTTCGGCCTTTTTACAGTTTGATTACTTGGGCTAAGCCACTTGGAGTCTGTCGTTGAAACAAAAAATCCCCACTGATCCACGAGCCCTCGGTCCGTTCCTCTGCTGCCTGCAGACTCCCCTTGTGCCTCGGACCCTCTCCTGGGCCCACGGCCAGGACCTTGGCTCTGGGGAGGCGCAAATCAGCGTCTCCGACCCTCATTCCTGCCTGATCGCCAGACCCACCAAGGCCCAATTTGTCTGACATCGCCCGCAGGTGTCTATGGGCACATCAACTCAGTGTGACCCTAACACTTCTAGGTCTTCTAGGTCTCCAGACCTGCTCCTTCCCCTGCATTCTTTTCTTTTCTTTTCTTTTCTTTTTTTTTTTGAGTCGGAGTCTCACTCTGTCACCCAGACTGGAGCGCAGTGGCCACTCCCGGCCACCGCAGCCTCGACCTGCCGGGCTCCAGCGATCCTTCCGCCTCAGCCTTCCGAGTAGCCAGAACTACAGGCGCGTGCTACCACACCCGGCTGATTTTTTGATTTATTGTAGAGATGAGGTCTCGCCTGCCCAGGCGGGTCTCGAACCCGCGGGCTCAGGCCATCCACTCACCTTGGCCTCCCAGAGGCGCGGGATTCCAGGCTGAGCCACCGAGCCCGGCTCCCCTGCATTCTTTATCTCAATGAATAAAAGTAACATTTGCTACTCAGTGATCTATGGCAGAAACAAAAAGCATAGTAACCATATGTTCTCACTCATAAACAGACCTTGAGCCATTATAATACTATAAGAAAGGGATTGGCAGTAGTGGGAAACTGCCAGGGGAGGGAGAGCCATACCTCATCAACAAGGGTACCTGCATGATCAACGTTGGTCTACCTAACCCTGAATTGTGCCCCACTTCTTTATAATTAAAAAAAGTAGCAATTGCTGAGGAAAACACTTGACTTATTCTACCCTTCACATCCAAATGATCACTAGAACCTAAAGATTCTGCCTTTTTAAAACTTGAAGCTCCCAATTGTTCAATGTCCACAAGAGACTCACATTAAAATACAAAGATACACACAGATTAAAAGTAAAGAGATGGAGAAAGATGTGTCGTGCTCAAAGTAATCGAAAAAGAGCTAGGTATATCTGTGTTTTGTGTATGGAGGGGTACATACAAGCACAAGCGCTGGAGTTTCTGTACTAATTTCAGTCAGAGCAGACTTCAGGGCAAGGAGAATTATGAGGAATAATTCCTCGTAACACAATGATAAAGAAATAAATTCTTAATTCCTCATAACACAATGATAAAGAAATAAATTCTTAAGGAAAACATGACAATCCTTAACACGTATGCATCTGTGAGCAGAGTATCAAAATACATGAGTCAAAAGCTGGTAGAACCACAAGGAGAAATAGATAAATCTGCCATTACGATGGGAGACTTCAACATGCTTCTGCTGAAAGTGGGCAGATCCAGCAAGCAGAACATCAGTAAGAGCATGGCCGAGCTCAATAGTGCCATCGATCAACCACCAAATACATACATACATATATATAATATATACGCACACACACACAGTTATTTATATTTGATATCTACAGACCACTTCATCCAGCACAGCAGAATCTATCATCTATTCAGTCTTCACCAAGATAGACCTCATTCTAGTCAATAAAACACACTTTGGCAAATTTGAAATCATGTAAATCATGCACAGTGTGCTCTCAGATCACAGTGGAATGAAACTAGAAATAAATAACAGAAAGATAACAAGAAAAATCCCCAAATATATGAAGGTTAGGAGACATACTTCTAAATAACTTAAAAGAAGTCCCAAAAAAGTTTTAAAGTTTTTTTAACTAAATGAAAATATAACATCAAAATTGTTGGAATCCAGTACAAGAAGTGCTTAAAGGAAAATGTATAGCACTAAGTGCACATATTACAAAAGAAGAAAGATCTAAAATCAATAAGATTCCACTTTAGGAAACTAGAGAAAGTGCAATATAATCCTAAAGTAAGAAAAAGAAAAATAATAAAAACTAAAGCAGAAATCAATAAAATTAAAAACAGGACATCAAAACAAAAATCGATGAAAACAAAACCTGGTTCTTTGAAAACATCAATAAAATTAATAAACTTCTAGCTAGGCTAACCAAACAAAACAGAGAGAAGACACAAGCTACTAAATAATAATTGAAAGAGGAGATACCACTCTAATCCCACGGATGTTGAAAGAATAATAAAGGAATATTATGAGCCAAGCATGTGGCTCACACCAGTAATGCCAGCATTTTGGGAGACTGAGACGGGAGGAATGCTTGAGCCCAGAAGTTCAAGACCAGCTTGGGCAAAACATAGTGAGATATTGTTTCTACAAAAAAAATTTTTTAATGTAGCCAGGCATGGTGGTGCACACCTGTAGTCTCACCTACTCAGGAGGCTGAGGTGGAAGGATTGCCAGAGCCTAGGGCAGTAAGGATTGCAGTGAACTGCAGCCAGGACAGTGTCACTGTACTCTAGCCTGGGTTCCAGCGTGAGATTCAAACTCAAAAATTAATTAATTTACTAGAGAAATTGAATAAATGATTAACAACCTTTAAAAAAAAAAGAAGCGCCAGGCCCAGATGTTTTCACTGGTGAATTCTATCAAGAAGGAAATAATACCAGTTCTCTACAATATCTTCCAGAAAACGGAAGTGAGGGAATACTTCCTACCTCGTTCTATGAGGCCAGCATTACTCTAACACCCAAACAAGAAAAAGACTTAACAGAAAGGAAAAACTCTCTCCCCTCCTGCTCACCCCTTAGTCCCTTGTCACTCTTCGGTTGGGAGGATGGAAGCGTCTCAGGTGGACTTGCTTCTGATCTTTCCAAAAAAGCATTACCCACCAACCCAGTGATCTTCAAAAGATGCAAAAATGGACGTGTCATGCCTCCTGCAGGTAAGAGTGTGTAATATCTGTATGGCATTCAAGGATCTTCAGCATCATAACCAGCCTGCCTTGTCTCCCACCTCTTCCCCCCAAACTGCACTGAATTCTCTGCAATTCCCGAGATACCCCATGTCCTCTCTTGTCTCCGTGTGTTTGTACTTGATCTGATCTGAGTCTGGAACATACACGCATGCGTATGCACATATGTACACGTGTACACACACGTCTTCACAGGCAGAAGCTGCAATTTTCTACCTCAGAAGTTACCCTTGTTTTTAAGTGTCATTGTGTGTGTCTCTCACACTCCTGCAAAAAACTTGAGAGCTGCACTGTGCCTTACTCCTACAAGTAGGAGCTCAGGACAAGCTTGCCGAATGAATGGATGAATAAGTGGATCGATGCATGGATGGACGATGGATGGGTGGATGTGAGGGAGGGCTGATGCAGGAGTGGAAAGATGGATAGATGGATGCGTGGATGGATGGACTGGTGAAGGGTGTGTGTGTGTGTGTGTCACAGGGAGAGAGAGAGAGGGAGAGAGAGAGAGAGAGACAGACACATGGAGAGAGAGATGGCGATACATACGTTGGAGGTCATCACATTAAATTGCCAACTGTAGCTTCCTGGTGCCAGAGTGGATGATGCAGGCGGGGAAAGGGTCTGTGAGCCGCTTCTGAGCCCCCCAGCGCTCTGCCCTACCAGGGCGGCTCATGCAGAGCCATCTGCCCTCACTCTTCTTCCAGCCCTGGCTCAACCAATCCCTTGCAATCAACCTGATGCTGTTTCTCCTCCATCAGAGCCAAAGTCTGTCCTTGTCTGCCACCAGTAAACCCCATCCAGCCCTTGGGAATGGCACTGAATGCCCAGCATTAAACTGTTTAACCCCATCCAGAAAATCGCTTTCTTTCTGAGCAGCACTTTAATGCAATACTGCCAGCCTGTCTGGAGATGCTGGGAGAGATTACCATCCCGAACCCCCTTCACTGCGGAGACAGCTCCGAGCATCCCCTTCATGGCAGAGGCAGCACCGAGAAGCCCCCTTCACTGAAAAGATAGTCATGAGTAGCTCCCCTTCGCTGTAGAGAGAGCCCTGAGACGTGTCCCTCGCTGTAGAGGTAGCTGTGAGAAGTCCCATGTGTGGCAAAGTTAACCTTGAGAAGTCCCCTTACTGGAAAGATAGTCCTGAGAAGTCCCCTTCACTGTGGAGATGGCCTTGAAAAGCCCACTTTGTCGCAGAGATAACCCCCGAAAAGCCCCTTAACTGAAGAGATAGCCCCCAAGAAATCCCCTTTGTGTAGAGATAATCCTGAGAAGGCTCTCTCACTATATTTTTGAGAAGCCTCCTTGGCTATCAAGACAATACCTGCAAATTCCTCTTCACTGTGGAGACAGTCCTGAGAAGACCCTTCATGGTAGAGATTGCCTTCAGAAATCCCTTTTAAGGTAGAGATAGCCCCCTCCATTGCAGAGGTAGCCCTGAGAAATCCCCTCCATGTAGAAACAGCTTTGAGAGGCCTCCTTCACGGTAGCCCTGTGAAGCCCCCTCCACGGTAGGGACAGCCCTCACAAGCCCCCTTCACCACAGGGATAGCCCTGAGAAATCCCCTCCACATAGAGAAAACCCTGAGAAGACCCCTTCGCTATAGAGATAGCTTAAGAACCCCAGTTCACTGTAGAGATACCCCTAAGAATCCTTCTTCACTGCAGAGGTAGCCCTCGTACATTCTAGAGATGGCCTGTGAAAAGCTCTCCATCATTGTAGAAATAGCCCCTGAGAAAACCTCCTAAATGGTAGAGATTACCTGTGAGAAACCTTCCTTCAGTATAGAGAAGACACTTTAGAAACTTTTATTTACAGAGACAGCCCTTGAGAAAACTTCCTTTCTTGTAGAGATAGCCCAGGCGGGCCCTCCTTCATGTAGAGATAGGCCTGGAGAAGTCCCCCATTCCTGTAGAGACAGGCTTTCAAAAACCTTCCACCGTCTCTAAAATGCAGGCCTTGAGAAACCACCCTTTTGTGGCGACAGCCCTGGAGAAAGCTTTGTCTTTCACCATAGAGCTCGGCCTTTCGAACCTGTAATTACTTCTTGTGCTCATCCTGGAGAAGCCCTCCTCACCATAGACACAGCCCTTGCAGGCCCTCCTTCAGTTTCTGCAAATAGCCCTTGAGGAGCTCTCCAAATTTACTGTCATTGCCAATGTCGTTTCCTCCCTTGGTGTCCCCTTCATGACATGGTACCAGAAAAGCTAGTCTCCTCTCCTCAGAAACTGGCTTGGTCTCCACTTGAGAATATTAGCCCTCCAGTGCATAATTTTGCTGTTGCACAACTACCTGGAAGCTCAGAAAAAATTTAGTCTTTATGCCAGGCAAGTATAGATTTTCTCATGTGCATTTTGTTTACTAAACTTTTCCCAGCTGCATTGTATTGTCCTACCATAATTCCCCTTCAACCTAGTTTCTCATTTATTTCAGATTCCGTTGCCTTAAGGTTGTATCTGCAAGCTGCCTCAGATCCCTGCTATGTACAGTCTGTGACTAAGGCACATGGTGAATGAAGATAAACAGAGAAACCCCACACTCGTGCGCGTGAGTCTCGTCCGCCGCACTGTCTCCTGCTCTCGGCACTGTCCCAGCCCCCAAACAGACAAGAGGCTCGCACAGGCACAGGGTGCTACAACTTCGGCAGCAGCTCACTGGCTTAATCTATGCAATGACCTTGTGAGGTAAGTGACGCTGACGCTGACACGTTTGACACAGGAGGAAGTTGAGGCTTAAGGTCCCGCACTCGGTAGGTGGCCCAGCCAGGATTTGAATCCACAATCGTTTGGCTCTAAAGCCCTGGCTTATTCCACTTCACCTCCTTCTTGGTCTGGCAGGCAAGACTCTCTGTGCCTGCACTGTCCAGTACGGTAGCCACTAGCCACATGTGGCTGTTGAAACTCAATTTTAGTTGGAATAAAGATGTGGGCTCCAGTCACACTTGGAGTGCTCCATGGGCACTTAGGGTGAGTGGCTACTGTTATGGACCGTGCAGAAGAGGACATTTCTACCACCATGGAAAGTTCTAGAGCATCTCCTGCCACCTCTCCGACTGTGCTTGGTTCCTGCTGGGCACCAGCTGTACCCGAGCTGAACTGGTACAGTACTTCCTCTGCCTCTCTGTGGAGGCCACTTCCTTCGCCTGGACTAGCCCCTGCTGCCCACCCTTGTCCTAAAGCCTTCCTCTCCTCACAGCTGCTGCATCCCCCCCGCCCCATCTGTGCTTCGCCCTGTCATCTCCTCTTCTGACCGCCTGACATCCTGAGGTCTGGCCCTCGTGTGCACTGGTCGCTTTTCCTTTGCAACTCCACCTCTCCGGCTGCAGTGAAGGAGCAGCTCGACTTCCTTCTGGGTTTGACTTCTGCCACTAGCTGCTTCAAACGGAGGCAATAGCACAAGTGGTGCCAGGACGAGGCAGGTTGCCCTTCTTTGAGCACACACGCCCTGTGTTTGTTCTCTGCTGAGGCCCAGGGGTGGGCAGGGCACAGGGAAATTCTGAGGAGGCCCAGCCGTGCCCTTAAGGAGCCCCTGGTCCAGGGACCTTGGCCAAGTCATTTGCCCTCCTCAGTCTCAATGCCCTCTTCTGAGACAAACGCTCTTTCTCCCCAAACAGCTTTCCATGCAAGAGTGGGGAGGTGAGAACCATCTGACGCTGTGGTAGGCGAGACGTTCAGGAGGCCGTTGATTCGGACTGGCTCCCGCACTGGGTCCCCCAGACAAGACCAGGGCGGAGGCCGCCCTGCTGAAGCTCCATGCCACCAGGTGGACGCTCCGATCTCTGCCTGACCTTCTGGGAAGTAAGGAGAGACATAAAGGCAGTAGCCCCAAGCAGTCTCGTCTTGACTGGCATGTACTTTAACCTTTGCAAGGAAAGTAACTTTTTGCTACTTTTTGTTTTCTGTTTCTGTTTCCTCAACCCTGTTCCGGCTGTAAAGCCAGGCTCCTGTGCTCAACTCCTCCCGACACCCATCTATTTTGTAGCTTGAATGTTGCCCGGTTCTAGATTTGCAGATAAAAGCCATTAAGATCTTTAACTGAATGTGTTGCGATTTCATCTTTGACACTCATAAGACAGGAAATGATAACAATGCCTGCAGGTAATGGGAGATGTCATCCCTTGGAGGCCGCCTCTCCACAGAGCCGGTGCTGAAACCCACAGGTGCAGCAGGCCCAGGACAGATGCCCAAAGAGTATTCCCTCCAAGGCGGCACCTGAGGCTGCAGGGCCCCTAGCAGGTCCAGGGAGTGTGGCAGGCTTCCTGCGCTAAGAGATGGTGAACTTCGTGTTTCTTCACAAAGACTCACTGGGCAAGTGTGCTCTAGCGTGCTGGCTTTCTCTGAACTAAAATCCTGAGCAGAGTTCAGGGGTCTTGCAGACTGGGGCAAAACTCAAGCACAGAGTTACAAAGCAGAGCCTGAGAGGCAGGGGCGGGGAGTCCTCGTGGGGAGCACACACGCCCAACTTAGGACATTCAAGATGCAGCCCCAAGCCTGCCAGCCGCTGACCTCAGCCACCCTTCCCGATCTCCATCTCGCTTCCTCCTCCGGGAGACAGGGGTGGATGGGACGCCCGCCATGCCACGGCTCTAGGGAGGCAGCCCACAGAGGCCCCAGTGCTGTCCCGCTCCTCGGTCGCGTCTTCCCCTACCACCCAACACCCGACCCGGGGAGGCTTTGAGGCCACCTCGGAGGCCTCCCCCAGGTCCCGGGCTGTTCAGAGGAGACTAAATGCCAATGTCCAAGGCAGGTGGGCTTTCCGGTGAGTCTGAGTCTACTTCTTGCTGTGGGCACCTTCACATCTATGGCCCTCAGTCCCTGCATCTGTGAAACGGAGGCAAAGCCACAAGTGGTGCCAGGACGAGGCGGCTGCCCCACACGGCACGGCTGGCGTCTAGCTGGGGCCTCACACCACGATCGAGGCTGGCCTTGACGGCTGAGATTCTGCAGAAAGGCCCTCCCGTGTGAGGGGGCTGCTGGGCGGGGACGGCCCCAGCACCTGCCATTCCTCTCTGCCCGGGATGTCCCCTTCCCACAGCAGCGGGCCAGGACGGCTGTTCCTGTTCCTCCTCCTCCTCCTCGTCCTCCTCCACCCAGGGTCTTCCCTGCAGCCCTGGGGACTGAGTCTGAGACAGAGGCTTCTGGTTCCCAGGCTCCTGAAGGGTCTCCAGCTCTCCATCCCACCTTGCTTCCGGATCTGTGCCCCTAGTTTGCCTCCTGCCCAGTGACCCTCCCTCCTCCCTTCCCTGCTCCTGGTTGACATGCCTCCAGCGCACACTTACCTTGTCAGGATGGGGTCTGGCTGGCCCCCTTCCCCTCCACCCTGGGCTCCCTGAAATAGCCGGGAAAGGAGGTAGTGCCGGGGCTCCAGGCGTGTCGGGCGTGAGGGACAGAGGAGACGGAAGGGCCCCAGGAGGAAGTGGCCAAGCGTTCTGTGCCCACGTAATTTATTGCAGGACTTTGCCCCCAGTCTCCAGGCACGTCCACTCCCACAGGCCTCCTGCAGCCCCAGCCTCCCGACATCTGCTCTTTAACCCAGGCCCCTCCGCAGAGCAGCAGCTGAGCTGCCTGGAGGCCATCAGGGTCCACACTCTGCTCACCTGCTCGGCCACCAGCCAGGTCCCTGGTGACCATCAGCCGACCACGCAGGGGGCTCAGCCCCATCCCAGACAGAGACTCCAACGAAGCCCATGGCAGGAGCTCTGCTCCCAGCCACCCCACGTTCTAACCCCGGCTGTGGTATAATATGAAACATGACATATTATGTCTTTGTCTTCGGTTCCTGCCACACAGCTCCTAAAACCCTTAGAATTTCCCAAGTGGTGATGTGTCTTTTGTTATTGATGATGAGCCCCTCTGATAACATATGAGTTTATGTTCATGAGGTGATGATGGTGTTGGGTCCTGAGCTAGCCTCAGGATGGGATCAGTCACCAGAAAGACCCAGTGGAGGGTAACTGGAACTTTCAGCACCAGCTACTGACCTCTCTGGGTAGGTGAAACTCTTGAACAAGATTTGACGAGCTTCCAGATATCTGAGGTTCCTGAGGATGGCACCCAGAGAGGGCATGGAAGCGCTGTGTCCCTCCCCCAGACCTTGCCCTCTACGTCTCTTCATCTGTATCCCTTGTGATATCCTCTGAAATGAACTTGTAAGCATAAGTATTTCCCAGAGTTCTCGGAACTGTCCCAGCAAGTTAATCAAACCCAAGTAGAGGGTTCATGGAAATCCAGACTTACAGTCAGTCAGTTAGAAGCATAGGTGACAGCTGGGCACGGTGGCTCTTGCCCAAAGTGCTGTAAGTCTCAGCACTTTGGGAGGCAGAGATGAGTGAACTGCCTGAGTCCAGGGGTTCGAGACCAGCCTGGGCAACTTGATGAGATCTCGTCTCTACAATAAATTTTTTTAAAAAAAATTAACCGGGCATGGTGGCACAAGGCTGTAGTTACAGCTACTTGGAAGGCTGAGGCAGAAGGATCACCTGAGGCCAGCAGGTCGAGGCTACAGTAGTAATGATTGCGCCACTGCACTCCAGCCTGAGCGATAGTAAGACTCTGACTCAAAAAACAAAGCAAAACAAAACAAACAAAACAACCAGAAGTATAGGTGACAACCTACTACCTGTGATTGGCATTTCATGTGGGACAGTCTTACGGGACTGAGCCCTCATTAGATAGCATCAGACTGAATTGAATTATAGGACACCCAGTTGGAGTCCATGGAAGAATTGCTTGAACGTCTGGTCAGGGGAGTGTTCTGTGTTGACTGTATACAGGGCACACACCCAGGAGATGTCTAGAGCGCCAGGAAGCCTCAGACCAGACAAAGGTCATCAGGCAACTAGATTCCCAGGAAGGTCCCTGGGAGCAGACCCAGCAGGCTTGGGCTAGGACTTGAATCAAGGGGCACTTGGGCTGTGAGGCAAATACAAGATCCTTTTTGTTAGGGTATGGACAGGGTGAGGGTGGCTTGAGAGGGGAGGGGGCACTGCACTGCTGCAGCCGGCACGCCGGAGGTGTGCACTGGTCTCCAGAGATCCGAGTAATGCAAAGAATTGCAACACACAAAGAAGTGAAAGAAGAAAAGATTTGTTTAAGAAAGATTCACTTACCACAGACAGGATGCGGGCCTACACTCTAGATGAGTGTGGTCCCGTAGCCCCCTCAAACCCGTAGCCCCCTCAAATCCCGGCTTTAATCCTTTCTCTTGGAGGTGCTGCAATCAGAGGTGTGACTGCCATGACTTCCTTTTTGACCCTCTTCGGAGACCCTGTGACACAGAGACCCACTAATGTCTGCCCATATTATCACAGCCCCCAGAAAAAGGCGTGACAAGGACTCTACATTCCTGAATAACATTACTTAGAGCCAATGGAGGGTGCACTTCCCCTTATCTCCTATGCATTCGCAGGGGGGATCCTTGACCCCCTCTGAGCGGTCACAAGTCCTGCGATCTGCATAACTTTTGCCTAATGCACCACGTCTTAAGCCTTGTAAACTCCCTTCACTCTAGGCAAGCTATGAGATACCTCTGATACCTGGCACCAGGAAGTCTGGGTTTCTGAAAAGACAAAGTCGGCAAACTTAATCTTTACCTAAAGTATTCATTTCTCCAAAACATAGCCTCCACTTGTCATCATTGTGTCAGGGTTTAATACCGAAATTTAAAAATGCATTTCTCACTCTCAGTCTGTCCTTTCGGTGGCGGGTCCTGGGAGGGGCAGCCTGGAGGGACAGGCCGGTCCTGGGAGTGAGTGTGAGGTGAGGGAAGCCTGTTTACGAACGGCTTTGAAGGCAGGTGGATAACGGGACTGGGGGTTCCTGCTCAGCCGCAGCCTTGGCATTGGGTGAAGAAGGGCCCCGTGGGTCCTTGTGGTTGGCCCAGCTGGAGCGAGTCAGGTTCCTTCCCTTTCCCAGGACTCGGGAACTGCAGGCAGAGCCGGGGGAGCGAGTCACCGTCTCTTAGAACGGAGATCAAGGCCGGAGGGCAACGGCAACCGTGGGCCTCTCTGGGGGCCACAGACCAAGAGGTGGTAGGAGAGACGAGGGTCAAGTGGTGAGCAGCAGAGGTGAACACCCTGTGGCCCCTGAGAGAGGAGACCCTCGCGGGCCCACAAGAACACCAGCTTCTTGTGCGTCCCGTGGGTGGGCTCCAAGGAGTCCCTAGGCTCCTTCTACTAAAGTCCCCTTCTGTGGAGATGGCTCGAAGAAGTGGCTTCTGTATCTGACAGCCAAACGCCCATGCCGAAGACAGGGAGTTGAGTTGGGAGACAACCGGAAGGGCGTGTGGAGGAGAGCTGTGTGCTCCGAGCGCTTCGCCCTGCCTCGCCCCTGCCGGCCACTCCCACCCCGGCTGCCCTTCAGGGTCTGTCTCTGCTCTGACCAGCCTCATGCGCTTAAAATCCTGTCCAGCTTCAGGGCCAATACTTGGCTCTTCTGGGCTTCATGCTGCACATGGTTTCTCTGGTCTAGGAATACTCTGAAAGGACATAAAATGGGGTTGATATACTCAATGAGCAGCCATCTTGACACTGCCTAGTAAGCTTCTCTAGCTTACCCTCTCATCACTAGCCAAGGAAAGAACCAATTTCTCAGAGGTCCCTATTGATGACTGTTTTACAACCCCTCCCCTGCTTGTTTAGCACTAATTCGCTTTTCTATTTCAAGTATTTGCCTCCAGCCATAAGAAACAAGTTAACCTAATCAGCCCCTTGTGACCTTGGCGGCACAGACCCCATCACCTTGGCAGCTATCACGCGACCAGCCCACACATCTATCTGCCTGCCGTCCATCACCTGACATCAATACCTGTGCTCACCCGCCCCTTCGTGGTGACGTGAAAAAGACCACCACCCGTCACCTTAATGACCTGCCCCACACCAAAGGGAAGGTTGAAAGGCAATCAACCTCAGGCAGCCATTTGCCATTGCTTTGTTAAACTCTGGTGTGTCTACATGGCTCTGAGCTATAGCTACCTACTTCCTCGTCTGGGCTGCCTCTCCTACCTTGAGGAGGTGATTCGCCTCTCTCTCACTCTGATTTACTTTCTAAAAAGACTGTAGTTTCCAGCCTAAGTTCTATGCAATTCTGTGCATCTTTTTCACAACACCGGATGGTAGGTACCCCCTAGCCTAACATTTTGGAAGCCCTACTGGGATTTTTAGCCTAACAGATACCTTTTAGTTCCTGCAACTCCCAGAGATAGCGGGCCCCTTACTCTGAGACTCCAGACTAGGTCCTCTTCCACCGTCTTCTGCTGCCATCATACAAGAAAATATTGGGGCAGAAAGTCTGTGTAGAACAAAACCATCTATAAGATGATCCTGTCCAGAGTCTGCCTTATGCAAAATGTGATAGAAACACATTTTAAATGTCTACGTACAGCTCTCTCTCTCTTTTAATGTGACATCCTCTGTAATGAACTGGTAAACATAAGACTGACTGTAAGTCTGGGTTTCCATGAACCCCCTCCTTGGGTTCGATTTATTTGTTAAGACAGTTCCCAGAACACAGGAAAGTACTTTACCAGACCATTAGAGAGGATTTTAATATAATATCCATTACCGAGTGTCTCTCTCTCTCTCTCTCTCAATGTTCAGCATTATATCACAAGCACTTTCTTACACTGTACCAAACTTCTCCCACCAGTCTTGGAAGACAGGGTGACAGTCTGTCATACAGGTGCTCCATCGTTTGTGGACCCATCCTCCCTGGGTGGACAATGGGAGGCACCGAATCCTTTGCTATCATATACCACATCACAAGGAACAAGTCTGTGCCCACAGCTTTGTTTGCATCCTGTCATTACACAAGATTCCAGAAGGAAATGTACTTAAACAGGGGCATGAGTGCTTAGCTGCTAACCTTTCTTAAGTGACATGCCAAGTCCTCCCACCCGGCCAAAGCTGCACACATGGCAAGGACCCGGTCTGACTGTTGTGTGAGTGACAGGGTGCAAATGGGGACACCCTGATGGACAGTTCTCCTGCAACCTCAGGTTTCCTGAAGTTGAGGGACGCCAAGTCCTGGAAATCAAGAAGAGAGGCTAGAGACAGGCAGGGCAGGCTCTTCCTAATCTCACTGGTGACCAAGCTGGCTCTCTTCCAAGCTATAGCCTGCCAACTGTAGACGTGAAGAGCTGCTTCTGCAATTCTCCCCAAGATATTAAAATATGCTTCTGAGTTGAGCTGAAATGTGTCCCTCAGACAACCTGTGGTTCATTCACTCCTGTCCAATGACCCAGCCCGTTGTCCCACTGTCACAGCAACTAGAACCGAGCAGAGCAAGTATTTCATTCTGCTCTCG